CTGAAAAAAGTACTACCCTTGAGAGGCTCGCTAGGTCAAAAACTCAAAAGGGCGGCCTAGACAAAAGTTAGAGCATGAAAAAAAATAATAAAATAAAAAAAAAGGAGGAAAAAAAATATAAATTTTGAAAAGAAATGAAAAATGGAAAAATGAAGAAAAAAAATTACGCTCGCAAGGTCGAAAACCCAGAAGGGTGGCTTTGGCAAAAGTTAGAGCGCAAAAGGAGAGTGAAAATACCCGAGTGAGCCTTAACATGATATAAGAACTGATTCCTGTCTATGGGATACGTAGGCAATTTCATCCTGAAGTTCGGCTATAGTCATAAATCACCTGATTATTCCTGTCTATGTTTGATTGGTTCGTCTCCGTCCAATTCAGTTGTCTTGTTCCTTCCTCATAGGATCATTTGATTCAGAATTTATGCATCTCGAGGGCTAGTTTCATGTTTATCAGGTAATGACCATTCGCAAAAATAGTTTTCGATGAATTTTAATGGAATTGACTAATCTCCTTGAAAATTACCCTGTTTTTGCAAAATTCAGACCATTCATTGGACCATAAAAGCGAAATTTCCAGCACTCACAACTTTCTTTTATTATATGGTTTCAAAATAGATGATGGAATGAGCACGCTAATCTACCTCTCATTTTGATTAAAACTTTTTTTTTATTATTTTAAGAAAACTGAAAAGAGTCAAAGCAATGAACTAGGGGCACAGGTGAGTCAGGTCTTCTATCTCTTATTTGCACTCTCGAAGGTCTCATGTCTCTTTCATACATTGTCGGAGGTCTTCGCTATTAAGACAATGCCAGGTTGTGCCTTTTCTTCAAGCTAGAGCAGATATTCATCGGACAAGGTATGAGTGAAGCTATCAGCAGGAGCCAAAAGTTCTCTCGTCCTCTAAATGGGTGTATATTAGGAGAGATGTGTGGCTCGAACTGGAATTGCAGTAAGGTACTTAACTTCACCAATGGGACGAGTTTAATCATGCCCAATTTGTCGTCTGAACCTAAATGGGAAGTAAAAGACACAGTAGGTCAAGTCGATTAGTTGTACTCAAGGAAAATCCTTAAAAAGATATATGCCCTTAGGACATTCTGTTTGTATCCTCTATTGTCTTTTGAACTATTAATCTTTTTGATAATTTGTTTAAACAATGATGTAACCATATGAACAGTTCAAGCGAGAAGAGATGACTTTGGTATACGTAACAAATTATTTAATGCATCAGATTATCTGTATTGGTTATGATAATCATGTATTAGTATGTTGAAGAGTGGTGTAATATTAGGGCGTTACAAAGAATCTTTGCATTATTACGAAAGACCCTTCACACAAATTAGTACCACCAATATTGGTAAATATTACCAAAGAAAAGGGTAAAATGAGAGAGTCAAATTATAGGTTACCATTAGTAAATTATGCAAAATAAAATGGCAAAATGGGGGAAGGGGGAACCTCAGAGGTGTATTTGTAATTTATCCAAAATCAAAATATTTATGTTTCATAACTAATCAAGAATCTTTGTATAATTACGAAAGAAACCTTCATCTACTACCAATATTGGTAAATAATACACAATAAAAGGGCAAAATGAGAAAACTAAAATGCAAGCCTTAAACAATTCCGAACCAAAGGACAAAATCGAAGAAAAAAAAAATATGAGCCACAAGTAGGTAAGCGCTTCTTATATATAGATTAGTTTCAAACGGCCGTGTTATACTATATTTAAGTTTTGTATTTTGATAATTTTTTAAAAATTAAAATATTATTCTATGAAATTGAATAGAACAAATCATTAGATATATGATAGAATTATGTAGTATGATATGTATCATTTTTTGTTTTGTTATACACCCAATGATGTAGACTCTAATTCTGTTACTAGATTATTTTGGGTGAATTTATGAGTCTTTAACATTTCTTCTGAATTTATAAAAAAACAAAACTATGGTGTGCAATTTTTCTCAATAGATAAATATAAAAAAAAATACTAAGATAATTCTTCCATCTAAAAAAACTACTCAGATAATTCACTAAACTAATAAAGAAACAGAAGAAAATACATATACATACAAATGACTGATTTTATTAATATATAAATCACACTCGTATAACAAATGACTAATTTTATTAATAAGTAAATCATTAAGTAAATTAACAATTTTTGATGATATGAAAATATTTTTCAGTTAACCATTTTATTAATAAATAAATCATTAAGTCAATTAATATTTTTTTAATGATATAAGAAATATTTTTCAATAAACAATTTTAATAATTTATTATTAAAATTTATAACAAACGATAGTTGTAATTTTTAGTATTATAAGATCGATTCGTATTTTAAACCAACCTTATCGGTGTAATTGTAATTTATTAAAAAATAAAAGGTTTATGTTTCATAATTGACTAAGAATGTTTGCGTAATTACGAAAAAACCTATTACATAATTGACCAAAAATGTTTGCATAATTACAAAAAAAACTATCACTGAACCTATAAGCCACCATTACTAAATTATTCAACATGAAAGAGCAAAATCGAAAAGAAAAGACGAACCTCAATCAGCTAAACGGTTCTTATATATTATATATATAGATACATAGATATATATACAAGGGCGGAACCAAGATTCACATGTCCAGGGAGCCAAGGTTGGACATATGTATAGATCGACTTAACGGTTATACACTGTTAATTTTCTTGCCTCAACAATTCTCAATATATATTTATAGGACATGCTTGTAGAGTATGTATGATTGTTAGATGCTAAAGTAGCGACCCACAACATGAATTCCATAATTCACCACAATGATCTAACATAAATTGAGTTTTATATGATTTCACCACAAATAAAAAATTGACACTTAACCTGCTATGTCATTGTGCGTCAAATCAAAAGAAATGTTTGAAGAGAATTTTTTTTTTAAACGTCTTAAACATTTTTCTCCATATATATTAGATTAATTAAATTAACGAAATGTTATTTTTATTTCATATCATATTTTTTATTTCATATCATATTATTATTTGCAAAATAAAAATTTAAATACTAAGGGAGTTTGTTATGCATAATGTTCCATAACAATCACATCTTATAAAAAAAAATTTATTAAAATGATTCATAGGCCATAAATAATTCATTACATTTTCACCCTACCATTTATAACATATTCACAACATTTACAAACTTTTACTTTACAAGTATGTACTATAAACTCAATCATTCATAACTCCACACCAAAAAATCAGTCACCCATTCTCACCATTAGTTAATAATAAAAATATTTTTATACCAGTTTTCATTTTTCCGTGTTGCTTCAGCCTAAACTATTAACAAAGCTAACAAGGCCCAAACACACTGCCTCCAACTACCCAAGCACACTACCTCCGGCAACATGCTCTTTATCTATTAAATATATTATATGTGTATATATAACAAAATAGACCAACAGAACAAAACCAGGATAAAAATATTTTTATACCAGTTTTCATTTTTCCGTGTTGCTTCAGCCTAAACTATTAACAAAGCTAACAAGGCCCAAACACACTGCCTCCAACTACCCAAGCACACTACCTCCGGCAACATGCTCTTTATCTATTAAATATATTATATATGTATATATAGAGTTTTTGGGATCAAAAAAGTGTTACAATTGAAATTTAACGTTAAAGCAAATATTAAAGAAATAATGGAACTAATCTCAATTCCATCTTATTCACTTCTCAATTGAATAAATTACTTATATATACAGCTGTAACTACAACCTCTGTATTTTACTAATATATCTTTCTTTAATAGATTTTGTTACAAACAGTTACAACAATATACCAAATTGATCACTTGATCCTTCCCTTTGATGTCACTGTTGAAAATGCAATTGAGATTGCAGATGTTGCCTGGGTGCTGATGATGCTTAATATGCTCAATACTCTCAAATATATGGTAACAGTGTGTCGATCAATCTGTGTGTTCGTTGCGCATTAAAAAATCATGAATCCTGACTTGATTTGGAGGGCAGTGGTGGCCGGACTGGTTGGAGGGCTTAACTGGGTTGCCCTCGGAGGTAGGGAGGGGGGGGTTCAAGGATGGCGTGCAAGGGGGAGGTGCGTGGATGTTGGTGATGAAGTGATTGGTGGCTGGTTTGAGGGGAGGAGAGACGGGGAGGGGTGGCTAGTTCCATCTAAAATCTTACCCCCAAACTTTCCATTTTTGATTGTTATAACCAATTTATAGACAAGTCCCCAAAAAAACTGTTTACTTACAGACTTGGTAGCTCTACTGACTGCTACTTTTTTTTTTATCAGCAAAAAAAGAAACTTTATTGATGTATGAGTGAAGTACAAAGTGCAAACACGTTACATCAAAAAAGGAAAGGGAAGTGCAAAGGCATCACAATGAGCTAAATCATTCCAAATATGTTGGCACCAAAAAACCCATCCTATCATTTGCTAACACGCCCAGAGATGACGAGAAACCAACAAGAAAGCAAACCAACCACCACACCAGCACAACATAACCTAGCCCATCACAGACCCAAAGAACAGCCATCAAAACAGACATAACAAAATAGACCAACAGAACAAAACCAGGAACCAACAGAGCTAAATCATCACAATGAGCTAAAGCATGCTCAGATTCCAGTAAACACTGACTCCAGCTTGCAGCTTGTAACCTTAGCCCATCACACTTAGCCCAGAATGAACCACAACAGCAGCCCAAACCAATTCATAATGCATACTTGAACCTTAGCTTAGATCACACACAAACAGAGCACAACCAAGGGACAATAACCCCAAAATTCAGCCCAGAATCACCCAACATACCCCTAGCAGCAAAACAGATTACCCGCAAAACAGACAAACATATCAGTTCATCAAACTCAGCAAAACAGATTACCAACAAAGCAAAACAGATCACTATCAGAACTTGCAGCCAGCTTCCCACCCAGGACTTCCACTGTTGTACTGACTACTTACTAGCCGCAACTCAAACATAAAGGTTAACCACGGAAAGAAACTGCATAACTTGTTATTAGAAATACAATAGTACACTAATAAACAACAGATGACATCACATTTGTTATAGAGAACCTAGTTGCATCAGCATTACAAGCTGAAACTAGCAATCTTCCTTCCAGTACTCTGAACTGCACACAAATTACACAAATGAACAAAAAAAGAATAATCATAATCATGTGCAGCAGATTGGAATCACAGTTTTGCAAGACTTGCAATGTGCTCGAGCTGAAGATCTTGTTGGGACCATGATACCCATGGTTATTCAGCTACAGCTTCAGCACGCATTTTTTCATACAAGCGATATATCAGTGTTGATTTTGACATCTGAGGCTCCCTTTCAAGGACAGCAATCACATCCTTAGTGGAGATAGTACGGGCTACTTTAGTTTGAGGCACCACGACTTGATTCCTTGCTAATTTTCTATTCATACCTATTGAGAGAGCATGTGTTAAAATCAGATCATGTGCAACAAATCACGCATTGCCAAGTTATCATATATAGAAATTTTACTTACCACAAAAATGGCTCTGTTTAATTCATTAGAAATACAAATAGTCAACATTGTACATAAAATTTGTTCAACGAGGCAAGAACATGCCATGAGCTATTTTGAGAGATTATCAATTAAGAATCTTCTGTCTAACAATACATAGTTATTAGTTACAATACTTCCCCCTTTCAACAATAGTACCTGTAAAAATTATTCTTCTTGTCTAAAAATAGAAAAGATACGAAATCACAGGGCGCAGGGAGTGGGGTGAGGTGTCAGTATTAAAGGCCAAGAGAGAAGCATTTAAAGTAACCCCTTGGCTTTCACCTAGCGTCTTTCATGGGATCACCAAGGCCCCTAAAACTAATTGGACCCCCTCAGCACAAGTAATTAGGCAAAGAAAACAAAAGGATTACAAAATTCGAATTAGTTGGGTTGGTTGTGAAGACAAAATATGTGCAGTTCTAGTAAATCAAGGATTTAGTGAAAAATAAATAGCACCACCTGTTTGCTTTGTAAACAACTTAGTTTGCAATGCAAACCCTAAACCCTAAAACAATAGCAGCACAAGCAAACTTAGTTTGTGTTGTATCTACTCGTGTTTGTTGCTTTACAAGTGATGGCCAGCATGGAAAGAAATTTCAGTCCTAGTTTTTGTACAGGAGTCTTTACCCTATATATATATATATATATAATCTCAATGATTCAATGAAATTGATATTATGAGAATTTGAGATTGTGTTTGCATGAAATTGCCTAACCCTTGCGAGGGTGAAACACCTCTTCTCTTTTCTTCTACCTTTTCTTCTCCGTCTTCTCTTTTTCTTCTTTGGACACATATCCAAGTTACTATTCACAGACCTCAGAAAGTGCACTTTTCCATCCCAAAACCCTATCCAATCACCCCAAATCAATCATAATCCCTTCTTCTACGTATTAGCCTTCAACTTAACCATTAAAACCCCATTACTCACTGTTTAAGCCCTTAAATAGCCTTTGTTTTGAAAATCTATCAAGCTGCCTGTGGGTTGTGCTTACACTGTCCTACATCAGTTCAGAATTAGAGCTTCAAGATCCTATTGCACCAATTTGTTGTTAAGATCATTTTCTTTACTACAATTTTGACTAAAGCTGAATTGGGTTCCAAAATTTGAAGCCTTATCAAAAGATCATGAGGCTATGAAGGAAGATATCACATCATCGAGGAAGATAATAATGAGTAAAAGCATGAAACTGCGGCAGTGCTTGAAGAAACTAAAAGACCAAGATGAACATGTTGCCAACATTGAGGAACACCCAGGAGTGATCACCTCCTCTCAATCACTCTAACTCAATTGCAACATAGCCTGACCTTTGGCTTGCCTATGTCTCCTCTTAGCACTCACTCCCCAAGTTGGGTTCACTTTGCTCACTACTATGATGGCCATCACTTGGAAGCCTAGGCTGGGAGCAGAGCCTGCATCCGTTGCTTGGGATCATTGCAGGATTGTGGATTGAAGGTTAGGATCACTGGTTCGTCCAGGTTGCTTGGTTGTCTCCCTAGGGAAGACGGCTTCTCTTTGACTAGTCTTAGAGAGGGAACGTTGACCTACTCATGCCTGTTGCATGCCATGATAATACACCTCCCAAGATATCATATTTACCTTTGTAGCTCCTATGATGTAGTCTTCCCAACATATGAATCGTAGGACGCAACAATAAGCTTGTTAAGGGCAACTCACCACCTGTCGGAAGCTTATAAAAGGGGTATCCATTCACATAGTTAGCAACACAACACTAGCATAGTTTAAACAAAGCAATCTCATAACTTATGTTTTCAAGGTCTATCACTACCAACCTCTTTTTCTATATGATTGCCTTGGTCTTCTCCTTTGCAGCCTGCAGCGATCCTTGGCCACTGAAGTGCTAGCCATTTTCCCAAAGATCTACATTCAACCACCTCTAATACCTAAAACCTAAGAAATATGACAACACGGACACACTAACACCAATTTTCAAAAAAAGCAGGGAACACAGACGGAATATATAATTTTATATATCTATTATATGTCATATATATGAATATATCATTCAAAGATAATAAAAAAAAATACAATATAACACTTAGTTTTATAATTTACACTGTTTTTCTTTTATTATTGTAGCCTAAGTTATTTAATTTAAACTTATAATTAGTTTCATGCATTATAATCGATGGACACGTGTGTATCCTCCAAGTGTTCGAAGGGTGTTTGGGATTAAAAAACTTTCTAAAAAATAAGAGACGTTTTGACAAGTGTCAAACACATGTTGGGAAGTGTCCAACGAGTGTAAGTGTTCGATGGACACGCCACCATCTTAGAAGTGCCTATGCTTCTTGGCCTTTGGGAGCAGAGCCTGCATTCGTTGGTTGGGATCATTGCAGGATTGTGGATTGAAGGTTAGGATCACTGGTTCATCAGGGTTTCTTGGTTGTCTCCCCAGGGAAGACGGCTTCTCTTTGACCAGTCTTAGAGAGGGAACGTTGACGTACTCATGCTTGTTGCATACCATGATAATACACTTCCCAAGATATCATATTTACCTTTGTAGCTCCTATGATGTAGTCTTCCCAATGTATGAATCGTAGGACGCAACAATAAGCTTGTTAAGGGCAACTCACCACCTGGTCGGAAGCTTATAAAAGGGTATCCATTCACATAGTTAGCAACACAACACTAGCATAGTTTAAACAAAGCAATCTCATAACTTATGTTTTCAAGGTCTATCACTGCCAACCTCTTTTTCTATATGATTGCCTTGGTCTTTCTCCCTTGCAGCCTCTGGCGATCCTTGGCCACTGAAGTGCTAGCCATTTTCCCAGAGATCCACATTCAACCACCTCTAATACCTAAAACCTAAGAAATATGACAACACGAACACACTAACACCAATTTTCAAAAAAAGCAAGACACAATATGCAGGGAACACAGACGGAATATATAATTTTATATATCTATTATATGTCATATATATGAATATATCATTCAAAGATAATAAAAAAAAAAATACAATATAACACTTAGTTTTATAATTTACACTGTTTTTCTTTTATTATTGTATCCTAAGTTATTTAATTTAAACTTATAATTAGTTTCATGCATGTATAATCAATGGACACGTGTGTGCTCTCCAAGTGTCCGAAGAGTGTTTGAGATTAAAAAACTTTTTAAAAAATAAGAGATGTTTTGATTAGTGTCCAACACACGTTGGGAAGTGTCCAACGAGTGTAAGTGTCTGACGGACACACCACATCTTAGAAGTGCCTGTGCTTCTAGGCCTAAAACCTTGTTTTGAATACATTGGGCTCGTGGGATGTGGCTTTTGTCACAATAGGTTACTATGCTAGGATGGGACGCTTGTTTGCTTGCGTGACTTATGTGATTATGTGACCAAATGGGTATGAGATTAAACTTCTGGGATGTGGTTTGCGCCCATGGAATTCTTAGAATTCCTTTTAGAAGAGTACTTGATTAATACTCTTTCTACTTGGAAATCTTTGAACGTTTGTTGGACGAACCAATATCTTAGAGGGGCAATTCGAGCATTGATGAGGCGAAATAGGTCTGGAACAGTGTTGTAGATTTGCCCAGTATGAATGAAGTGCCATGCATTTGCATAGATTCTCAAATACTAAACCACATGAAGCTAATATACAATAATATGCTGCAAATAATATGCTGCTCCAACTTGGAAACAAGAATGCATATCTATAACATATATAAAAAGTGTAGAACTCCATCCTAACGCATCCTGCATTCTAACACACTTTCCCTAAAAAATTTCCTCATGAAGGTAGAGAATTTCAAAACTACTCGCAATGATCATATTGACGAAATTGCCATCATCTTTCTACTGGAGCCTTCGTCCAAGGCGATGAGGTGTGAGGCTGCTGACAGACTCCGCGTGACCAAATGATGAGGCAAACCAATACTTTGTCCAAAGGGTCATTTCATTTAATTCTCTAGCACATTAACATAAAAAATAAAAAATAATAAAAAAAATTAAAAGAAAAAAAAAATTCTTAAAAAAAATAATAAATTTCACATTCTCCTTTTTGAGGTTATAAAATAAAGATAAGTAACTTAAAATGAAGTCTAAATATTACTTATTGTTTAAAAAAATTAAGATAAACATATTTAAAGTAAAAAATTATGTCTATTTCTTTTTATCTAACAAGAATTCCCATGCATAACACAGGTGTACTATTAGTACATATATATTTTCAGTGATGAAGGCTTTACAACTCATCCTGTTGCTTTTGCAATGACTCTTCTACCCGGGCTAAATACTGAGAATCCAAATGTGCCCCTGCTCAAAAGATAGATTGTTGTACACATCGCTTGCCCTCATGTTGATGCCGTATGTGCTGAAATCTATTTTTGCAAGCGGCGAAATTTGTCTTGACTTCCTATTGTGCTTCTGATTAACCAATTGATGTCTGAATTTGTAGGGTGGCGACTTTTGGCTCTTCTAGATATCAGCCATGTGGTCATAGCATGGCAGTTATGTGACGACCCAACATGCATATCAATATTGCATTTATATTATTATGTGAAATTTGAATGTTGAAATGTGTGTTATGTACTTAATTTGTATGTATTTGTCTAAATTACGGGATATCTGTTAGAATGTCTGGTACAAATCAGGAATTGAAAGTTTAGATGAATTCAGAAACCGAAATTAGTGACTTTAATTAGTTTCACTTAATATTTAGAGTCTTTTGGGGAGTTTAATTAAAATTTGATTCAGATTAAAAATAATTAGAAATAATCAACTAGATATAAGTGGGATTAATTAACCTCAAGCTTGTTTAATTAGCCTAATCTAATTTGACCTATATAGAAGAGGGTTTGAACTCATTTTGTATCACTTGTGCTGGAGAAGTTTATATATATATATATATAGAGAGAGAGAGAGAG